TTTTTTTTTTTTTAATTTATGATCTAGAATTCTTTGTTCTACATTTTTCTTTTCTCCACTATCTGTCCAGGACCTTCTACTATAATCCTGATCAGACTGGTCAGTAGTGGTAGCTGGGCACCATCCAGTTTTTCTTGGCTCAGGGTAATGGAGATTGTGGTACATGTGGTCCATTATTTCCTCCTTGAGTCTGATTTTCTTCACTCTTCTTTGCTCCAGATAAGGAGAGACCGATATTTTCATCTTAGCTGGCTTTTGCAAGCATTTAAATCCTCAGCTGTTATTCACCCACTTAGGACGTAGAACACTGTCTTTGTGGACTGTATTATTCCAGTTGACATAAATGTCCCCCAAAACTATGGTCGAAAGTCCGCAACCTCAGTGATTCATTCCCTCAGGGTGTTTGGTTATAGCTAAGATGTTTTCATAACTTTGCCCCTTGCATGTTCTAAAATATCACAGGATATATTTGGAGCACATACAAATACATATGTAGTGATATCCTCTGCCAAACTTACATATATTTATGGGTGAACTATCACTTACCTTTTCACATCTGTTCAGCTTGCATGTCTACGTCTTTATCTGCTGTTAGGTACTGTTTGTTATTACTCTTATTGCAAGACTGCAAGATTGCATATTTGCCTTTGTTGTCTTTTACTCTTGTGCATCTTTAATGATTTCCCTTGCCTTGGCCATGTTGTGCTGCCTCCCCTTTATATATTACTTTTCCCTTTAGCTCTGGTGGCATAGTGCCTAAGGCATTTGACTGGTAACCAGAAGGCTGATGGTTCAAACCCACCAGCCACTCCTTGGAAGGGAAATTGGACATTCTACTTCCATAGAGACACTGCCTCAGAAACCCAAGGAGGGGTCACTGTGAGTCAGATTCAACTCAATGGCAGTGACTTTGGTTTTGGTTTTCACCCACGTTAATATGTGTCTACTCTCTAGTTAGTGATTTATCCTCTTTTCCCCTCCATCCCTGGTAACCATCAAAGAATATTTCTTTCTATTTGTAAACCTTTTTTAAAATTTTTATAATAATGCTTTCATTGTATATTTGTCATTTTGTGATTGACTTATTTCACTCAGCGTAATGTTCTCCAGGTTCATCCATGGTATGAGGTATTTCATGGATTTTTCATTATTCTTTAACATTACATAAGATTTCATTGCATGTACCACATTTTGCTTATCTATTTTTCTGATAATGTACACTTAGTTTGTTTCATCTTTTTTCTATTATGAATTCTGCAATGAACATGAGTGTGCATGTATCTTTGCATGTCACATGTCATCTGTAGGATATAACCCTAGTAGTGAGATTTCTTGTATCATATGGTATTTGTATTTTCAATTTTTTAAGAAAGAATCATACTGCTTTCCAGAGTGGTTGTACCATTTTATAATCCCATCAGCAGTGTAACAGAGTTCCAATCTCTCCACAAACTTGACAACATTTTCTGTTTTCTGGTGTTTTGAGCTTTGCTGTTATTGCTGGGGTTAGATGACAATGTCATTGTTTTAATTTACATATCTCTAATGGCTAATGATCATGAGAATTGCTTCATATATTTGTTGGCTGTCTGTAGGTCTTCGTTTGTGTATTGTCTATACTTTCTGTGCTTTTTTTTAAGAAGCTCTAGTGGCACAGTGCTAAAGGCATTAATTGGGTTGTTTGTCTTTTTGTTGTTGAGGTGTTGCAGTTTTCTATGAATTTTAGTTATTAGTCCCTTGTCTGATATACTGTTGCCAAAAATGTTTTCCCAGTCTGTAAGTTCTCTTTTTATACCTTTGGAGATGTCTTTTGGATCCACGTAAGTGTTTAAAACAGTCATTAACTGTTAATGACATTAAGTATATTTCTTGATCGTATTAGGAGCTCCAGTAGTGTAGTGCTTAAGGCACTTGACTGTTAACCAGAAAGCTGGTGGTTCAAACCCACCAGCCACTCCTCAGAAGGAAAGTTAGCCAATCAACTTCTGTAGTGATACCACCTCAGAAACCCAAGCAGGGGTCACTATGAGTCGGGTCTGACTCGACGGCATATATCAACAACATAGGGAACCACATCTCTGGGAAAGAAAAGCAAAGATTATCAGTTAAAAAGTAATTTGGAAGCAAAAAAAAAAAAAAAAAACTTTTATTAAGTAAAGAGTTTCCTATTTAAAGATTTGATAAAATGCTCAAATTAAATAGGGATAAGTATGTCATTATATTGGAAAAACTATTTAGCATCTGATTTTCTCTTTTTTATTTTTGAAAAATAAAAGGGCTGTAACTCGCCAGCAAACACCTGGAAAACAATTTTGGAGCTTTGCCCAACATTACTAAAGCATGTTGTTTGAAATTGACATGTTTGAACAACTGAATAAATACTCACAATCTCTGCTTTGTTCTTTCTTCCAGGTGCCTCCCATACTCCTGGATAAGCAGTTCTCAGAATTCACTCCAGACATAACACCAATAATTCTGGCAGCCCATACAAATAATTATGAGATAATAAAACTTTTAGTTCAGAAGGGAGTCTCAGTGCCCCGGCCCCATGAGGTCCGCTGTAATTGTGTTGAATGTGTCTCAAGTTCAGATGTGGACAGTCTTCGCCACTCACGCTCAAGACTCAACATCTACAAGGCCCTGGCCAGCCCTTCGCTCATTGCTCTGTCTAGTGAAGACCCTTTCCTCACAGCCTTTCAGTTAAGTTGGGAGTTACAGGAACTTAGTAAGGTAGAAAATGAATTCAAGTCAGAGTATGAGGAATTGTCACGGCAATGTAAGCAATTTGCAAAGGACCTTCTGGATCAGACAAGAAGTTCCAGAGAACTGGAAATCATTCTTAATTACCGAGATGACAATAGTTTGATAGAAGAACAAAGTGGAAATGATCTTGCAAGATTAAAATTGGCTATTAAGTACCGTCAAAAAGAGGTGAGTGCTGCTGGACTTTTTCCACATTTTTTAGTTTCCATCAAATGCAATCAAATTTAACCACAGTAAACTAACACTCACAAAATCAGTTTGGGGTTTGATAGCATTTTCTATTTAACTGTTAAGTGGATGACATTTATGTTTGCCAGATTAATAAGAATGGATTGCACTTAAGGGAAGTAATAAGTGATTTAATAATTGGTGATGTTTTTTAACCTATTGTATGTACACATTTACCAAGTATGGGTTTTAGAATCTCAAAACCTAGAAATTCTGATTCTGCCATTTATAATTTAGAAAGCACATCAATTTATTTAAGATTCATATTTCTCATCTACTTAAGAGATGTAATATTTATAGTATTTGTGTTTATATAGATATATATGTATATATGTGCATATAAATATGTGTATAAGTGTATGTGCATGTACTTATATACTGTTTTCCTCACAGATTTGTAGTATGTGTAAAATGAGTAGATATATGCAAAGGCTTTTAGCAAATTATGAAATATTTTATTAATAATATACATTATTGATGAGGGCAAAGTCTTTAACCCAATAATAGATGAAAACACTAAGATTTCTCTTATATCTTATTTGATTCCTTGATTTGTCAGGAAGGAGAAGTTAAAGAAGTTAATTGTAAGTGAGTAGAAATTTTCTAATTGTGTTTCCATGGATGTTTAATATTAAATAAAGAAAATTCAGATCTATTACACTTATAACACATAACATATGTGTTGCATGTTTTTACACACTGTTTGTGGTTGGATAAGTTTTCAAAAGACTAGTTCTTCTATGTTCAGAAAGTATCCGTTATCTAATTCACTGGTGAAAGAAAGTAATTAGTTCCCAGAATGATAGTTAGTAAAACTACATAATGTAAGGGGAAAAAGGAGGGGAAAAAAGAAATAGAAAGAGAGCAAGATTGAGAGAGAGAATTTTAAGTAATAATAATAATAAAATTTAATTGATTTCTTTTGAACTTAGCTTTGATTATTCTTCATTAGTCCTTATTACTTTGTTTATTGATAGTCATTAATTTTTTTTTAATTGTGAGTTGAGTGAAAATTTACAGAGCAAATTCACTTTCCATACAGCAGTTCATATACACTTTGTCTCATGGTATTGACCACAATTTACCACAATGCAACAGCTCCCCTCCCACTTCCTCCCCATAGTTACCTCTTCCTTGTGTCCACCATCCATGCACTCCTGCCCCCTGAGCTGTCTGCTGTGCATAAGCAGCCCTTCTCCCAAGATTTTTCTCTCCAGGGAGTGTATATACCTCAGGTAAATATTCAACTCATATGCCTGTCTTTTGTTTGGCTGGAAGCCACAAGTGTGGGTTCAATTCCAGACCTGAAGGGCATCTAGGGTCCATAGTCTCAGTTGTTCCACCAGGCTCTATTGGACCAGCAAACCTGCCCCCCCTTTTTTTCCAAATGATTTTGAGTTTTGTCCCACATTGTTCTCCCTCTCTACCAAAGATCTGCTACATAGATCCCCTTCCGAGTGGATGACAGTGGTAGCTGGACACCATCTAGTTCTTCTGGTCACATAGTCATATAGGCTGCAGACCGGATGGTGTACCAGTTATTGGATTAACTGTTTCCATGAATTTTTGGTTTTCTTCATTCTTCTTTGCTCTGGACAAGGAGAGACCCATCATTGCATTTACATGGCAGCTTGCTAGCTTTCAAGATCCAAACCACTACTCACAAAAGTAGGAGGTAGAACAATGTTTTGTATATTATGTTATGCCAATTGAGCTTGATGTCCCCTTCGATTATGAACCTGAGACCACAGGTTCCACTACTTGGTCCCTCTGGGTAGCTGGCTGTGACCAAGCAGTGACCACAACCTTGCCCCTTGTCAGCTCTACTATACACCTGGGAATTCTGATCATTC